ATGTAACTCAGACAAGAATGGAAAGAGTTTCTTTTTAGATTTATTTGAATACTTGATTACTAGTGGATTTGTTGACTATCAATTCATTTGTACTATGCCTAATAAGTACTATGCTCAATCTAACACATATTATTTGTTTTTTATTGATGTACTTTAACAGATGTGTTTTAATTTGTTTTTATGTGTTAATTATAATTTTGTATTTCATCTGTTCTGCACTAGTTGAAACTTCTAAACAGCAATCAAGAGCAGATCCATATAAAGCTTATTATAATTTCCTAGACTTAAAATAACACAGACATAAATGATGTCAGCAAGATCTAAAAGGTCTTGCAATCATAACATTAAACTGATTTTGTGAAATTCACTTTTATGCTAGCTCAAATGGCTTGCCTTGGAGCTTGCAATTTAAAAACTGATACAGGAAAGTCAAGGCCACCTTCCAGCTGGAAAGGACTACATCCTATGTCAATGTGGGCAGGATCAATCATGCTCTGGTACCCATGTTGTCTGTTATCATGCTGTTACCCATGCTCTGGTAACCTCCCAATTGGACTATTGTCACATGCTTTACGTGGGGCTGCCCTTGAAGACAGTCTGGATATTTCAGTTGATTTAGAATAGGGCAGCCAGGATGTTAACAGGGACTGGCAGATATGTGCATACAACACTGGTCCTTTACCATCTACACTGGCTACCAATTGAAGTCCAGCCCAATTTAAGGTGGTGTTGTTGAAGACCTATAAAGTCCTAAATGGCTTAGGACCCTGATATTTGAAAGACCGTCTCTTTCCTGATGTGCCTGCCCACCCATAAATCTGGGTTGGAGGTCCTTCTTTGGGAACCCTCCTTGAAGGAGATAGGAGAAAGGCTACCTGGAGAGGGGCCTTCTCTGTGGTGGTACCCCAGTTATGAAATACGCTCTTGAGAGACACTTCATTCTTTTTGGCACCAGGCTAAAATCTTTTTATTTTCCCAGTATTTTAAGGTTTAAATTGCTATTTTAATTGGTATTTTACTAGATAGAAATGATGCTGTGCATTACTTTGTTTTATTGTAAAACTGTCCTGAGTCTATTTGTTAAAAGGATGGCATAGAAAAGTTAGAAATAAATAAATAAATAAATAAATCGGCCTGGAGCCACCATTTTAATTTTCTTTTTTTAGCGGACTATAAGTTTGTTTTAAATTAATGTTCACAGAAAACAAAAGAAAGGAAAGGGGATATAGGAATGTGCCAAGAGTCAATCCACAAGTATAGTGTATAACATCAAATTTTAAACCCATTCATAAAAAAGCAAAAATCTTGTTGGCTATAATCCCATCAAAACAATTCAACTCTCAGCCTGACAAAATTTATCCAGTCTATTGCTTTTAGTTTACTAACATTTACTATAGTTTTTTATAGAAAAGTATATTTATATTTTTTCACAATCAGCTTTCCATCTTTGAGTACATTCTTTGACTGGCCTTCTGTTAATGTAATTAGTTAATTTCACAATTATTGCATAGTCAGCTAACTTATTTTTCCAGTCCACGACAGTTGGATAGTCTTCAGCTTTCTACTTTGAAGCAATTATCATTCTTGCTGCTGTTGTCATGTATTTAAATAACTCAATGATAATCTTTGGAATGGTCTCTGGTACAATACTCAACTGCATATTCTTAATGTTCACTGAAAAGTCCATTTTAAGTATTTTCTGTATTACCATATGTATCTACTCCCAAAATCTGTTCATTCTATCACAAGTCCACCACATATGATAGAAAGTCCCATCTTTCTCTTTACATTTCCAACATTTTCCGTTGAAGTTCTTATTCATTTTCTGTATATCTTTCAGGGTAATATACCACCAAAAATACATCTTATACCAGTTTTCTCTTAACATCTGACTTACAGTGAATTTTATATCTTTCGTTCATAAGGCTTCGCATTGACTTGATTGCATTTCTTCTTCAAAGTTCTGTGACCAGCTCTTCATTGATATTTAACTTGTTGAATTTCAGTATCATGTTTAAGCAATAATTTATAAATTTGTCCTAAAAATGGTCTTTTTGATGTTTTATTATAGTTTCAAAATCAGTAAGACTCTATGCTTTTCCTGTTTGAGTTTCCTTTTTTAATCTTGAGACCAATTGATAATAAAGGAACCATTCTATATTTTTTCCTTCATCTTTTAATTCTGGTCACGACTAAATGCATCCTTGTTGATCAACCATGTCTCCGGATGTTATAGAATCATTTCTTTCCTGAAGTGTTTTCCATGGTATGCTTCTATTGGGGACATCAAAGGAGAGATTGGAGGCCTACTTCTTCTCATAAAGTACTAAATTTTTATTAGACCATCCCTGAATACTTGACTATTATTTAGGATCAAGATTTTTTAAAAGATTCTTTGGTCCATAATATATTATGTATTTCTTCTTCAAGGTCTGCTATCTCCAGTTTCACTATTCTTTCTTCTAAATTGAAGATCCAATCTGTGATCACCATTTTGATTTTTCACACTGACCCAACATTGCACTCTAGACCCATTGAAATGCTAAGGGTTTTTGTTTTTAAATTATGACCGTGAAACTAAGGTCATTCTATTCCATTTGTTAGTAGCAGTGAGGACTTTTCTCTCTATCAGTTGTATCAGCAGAAACATATGCTCTGTTTGTTTGCTTAAGTGTGTTGAAGAATCAGAGAAAAGCTTACTCATTTTCAAGGAAGTAATTCTGCTCTGCGACAAAGCACGCCTACTGTTAGCTGCAAAGCCATGTTCAAAGTTACATACTTATATTACAAACCCCTAAACAACTTAGGATCAGGATAACTAGCAGAGCACCTTCTCCTATAAATACCCAGTTGATATTAAAATCTAAAGAAGAGGACTTACTGGTTGTTCCTCTCTGTGGTGCCAACCATCTGGAACTCCATCTCCTGTGCAGTATGGAAGGCAGAAAATGTTGTAAATTTCAAGTGACTCCCTAAAAAATCAGTTGTTCACCCATGCTTTGTTTGGTTTGTAATTAATTGCAATTAATCACCTACTTCTCCTTCTTATTGTTAGGTAAAAATACCCTGAAGTTCTTTCCCAAGAGGACTCAAACCAATAGAGGCAACTCAAGGAGGAGGCTGAACACAATTGTAGGGCACTAAGCTCAGAGTTTTATTCAGGTACAACAGCTGAGGGGTGGGCACTTCTGGCTCATGTGACAAAGAGATTCCACACACACACTCTTTGTGTTAGTAGATTATTATACTGTGCTGAGGTTCCTCCCTACGTGGTCAACAAGAAACCCACCCAGACATCCCATGTGTTGTATTGCAAATGGCCTGTGCTCACCCTATCAAAATAATTGCTATTGTTACCTTGTTATTGTGGTTGGAATTTTTAATACTATATTTTGAATGCAATTTCTATTGTCAGCTCAGTTAAAATGGTTTTTAATAGTGTTTTTCCTCATGAGTTTTAATATTTATATTTGAAACATTTGGATTTTTTATTAAATGAAGCAAACTATAAGTATTGCCAGTAAAATAAATATGTCAAAGGCATTGTAGTAAATGAAAATAGCTCTGAGTTTCCTGGCATGGGGTGACTAACATAGGTATCAGAGTAGCAGTGGTCCTGTCATGATGCCTTGTTCCCACGTGCTGTCCTAACCCTAACCCTAAAGCCCCACTGAACATAGTGGGATTCCAGTAAACATGAACACGTACTCCTGTTTACCTCCACCTCAAACTCCCTCCTCTCTCTTCAGAGACTAAGTCACACTAGGCACAGACTTTCTTCCAAACATGTATAGGCACTATTTCGCTTGCTATCATTTGGAAAAGGGATCATGTCAAAGTCATTACAAAAAAGACCATTTTATGAAATGGTCTGATCTCTTGGCATGTTTAAAAGGCCTGTATAAGCCCCCAGTTCACTGTTGTATTCTATACATTTTCAGATGTAGTAAAGTCAGAGTCATGCCTGTTTACAGTATTTTATTGTAAGTTCCAGCTCGGTTGACACCCCCTCCCCTGCCAGTTTTATTCTGGGGAAAATAACTGCTGGTTCCATTCTATTTTATTGTTGTTACCTGAATTTTGTATATGGACTGGAGGTATATTGACAGGTAAGTGGATGAGCAGTTTTTAAGTATGTCAGTAACACATTCCATCTGCAGTCACAGTGACTCACAAGTAACCTCAAGGCTTAATATAGTCTGGATCTTCATTTTTGTACAATCTTAAAAAGAGACAAGTGTTACTCAAAGATACTGCTTTTATGATTACTTAATGTTTGATTTATGGATTTTGATATTACTTCAAAAAAAAACTCAAGTCTGCTTAGAATTTGGCAGACTTCCATAAACTGGTTAAGAGGATGTGATGTGACCAGGAAATGATTTTTTAGCACTTTATGTTATGGCTTTTTGCTCAAGCTCATGCTGCCTAGCAGCACACAAATCTGCAGGTATGTCTCATGTCAGAATTGTGGCCAACTTGGATTCATAAGTATAAATAATGGCACAGTGTGATATTGGTGTTTGTGCTGTCTTTCTTTAGTTCTGCACATTATTCCTCTTCAAACAGGAATAGTTATACAGTGCATCCTACAGTGGTGGAGGTCCACTTTCCAGCAGGTGAAGGGGGGAACGTCAAGGAGGCATATCGTGAACTAGTAACAATGAAGTTTCCTACGCATGTTTAGACAGAAAAAATGTCCTACAACTCCCAGCAGCAAGTGTGGTCACTAAGGAATGCTGGGAGTTGTAGGATTTACTTGTACCCAGGGTTATTATTGTTCCACAGAGTTACTCGGAGGGTCAGACGCATTGATTTCATTGGGGTTTATTCCTAAATCATTAATAAGCCCGCACGAGTAACTAAAAAAAGGGTCCCGGGGCTGAACTCGATAAGCCCTGTCTCAAAACATGCGCAAAGAGGGAAAAAACCCCTCCGAACTTTCCTTGCCCCGAAGGGCCACTCGTCCTGCTTGCTTCCGCTGCTGATCCCGGCAGTAAAAGGAGCGAGTCCACCCTCAGCTGCATCTCCATCCGGGTGGTGGCGAAGAATGGGGACTCTCTCCCCGATCCGCATTTGAGGATAAGCATGGGGCAGGCTCTTCCAGAGGAGGACAAGTGGGATCCCGCTCAGAAGAGAGTCCTGGCAGGCGCACCTCAGCTTTCGGGGACCTCGAACCCCGTTCTGGTCCAAACTGAAGATGTGCAGCGACCGCTTTTTATTGAAGGTTAAGAGTCGTGTCCTCACTTCGCGGGAGGCGTCAGGAACTAATTCCTAAATACAGGAGAACGAGGGAGGGTTCGGGGCTCGAGTTTTAGGGGATGCAGTGCTCCTCCCCTGTTTCGGAAGCCTTGCGCTTCACCCCAAATTCGCGCGCGGGAAGGAGTCCCAGTTGGGGTTGTACCATAGTGATAAGGTAAAGTAGCCTTCTCATTAGGTGGCCAAAGTAATTGAGTTTAATAAATAAAAGTAATAATAAAATTAATTAATAAAAAGTAAGAAATATTTTTTAAAAAAATTAATGTGGCAACTATTATTTCCAGAGCTCAGCCTTAAAGTGGAACCAGGGGTTCAGGGCATGGACTGGGAGGCTAAGCCCCAATAAAAATAAAACAGGAAAGGGAAGTGTAAAGGGAAGTAAATCTAGGTGATTTGTACTGGTGAAGTATTTGCAGGAAGGGAGCATTGTGCATTTACTTATGAGAAGCATGACATTCTGTGTTAAGAATGAAGCTGTGGTGCTTCCATGTTCTTTGTGGCAGCTTATGCCTTTACATAGGGCTGACATATATATTTCAGTTTATTAATTTAGGAACTGAGATTATGTGGTCCCCAGATATTGTTTGAAGGGCCATAGGATTTGTTGGATTTCCAGCCCCAAGGTCAGAGATTGTGATCTGATGATGTTGTTATGGACTGCCAAGTTGTCTCTGATTTATGGCAGCCCTATGAATGAATGTCCTCCAAAATGTGCTGTCCTTGATGGCTGTGCTCAGCTCTTGAAAACTCAGGGCTGTGGCTTCCTTTATGGAATTGATCCATCTCATAGCTGGTTTTCCTCCTCCTTTTCTGCCTTTAATTTTCCCTAGTATTATGATATTCTCCAATGAGTTGGCTTTTCATAATGTGCCCGAGGTATGACAGCTTCATCAGTTTTGCTTCCAGGGAAAGCTCTGGCTTGATTTGGTCTACGACTTATTGTTCATCTTTCTGTCAGTCAAGCATATTAGCAAAGCACTCTTCCAGCACCATATTTCAAATGCATCCCTTTTCTTCCTGTCACTTTCTTCATTGTCCAGCTTTGGAACTCTGCCCCCTCCCTCTCCTCCTCCCCACTGGTGTGGGAAGAAACATAATTGCTCTCTGAGGTTAGTAAAGTGACCTGGGGGGATAAAAAAGGGAGAAGAGGGGAATCTGGGATGGTATCCTACATCCACTTCAGCCACCTTTGCTCTCCTTCAAGATGTTTTAGCATGACAAGTGAAAAAGCAGAAATGCAGATTGCAAGGACTGGGAGGTAGAGATTACTTCTGTGACTCCTGCTCTCCATGCGATTTCTCTAAATTCGGGGGATTCTGGGCATCCTCACAGGAACATACTTTTAGGAAACTATGTTATGCATAATTAGACAAAAAAATGGCTGGGTCATGCTGAGAGTTGTAGTACTGTTTTCTGCCCAAATATTCATAGGATTGCACCCTAAATTAGTTAAGGGTGCAGTCCTAGACATGTTTAGACCGCAAAAAATCCCACAGCTCCCAGCATTCCCTTATCCATTATGGTTCTGAGAACTGTAGGTTTTAGTGATATCTACATGTACATAGGATTATGCTCTAAATAAGAGCCATGCTGATGGACCCTAAAAATTTAGAAGTGTGGGTCTCCCAGACACAAGCAGGACAAAACTGGAATTAGAATCATAGAATTGTAGAGTTGGAAGAGATCAAGGGCCATCAGGTTCAATTCACTGCTAAGAGAAGTACTCCCAAGTCAAACCATCCCTCTCACATGGATGTCCAGCTGCATCCTGAATGCTTTGAGTGTGGTGCAGCCCATCACCTCCCTAGGTAATTTGTTCCATTCTTGTACTGCTCTAACAGTCAGGAAGTTCTTCCTGATGTTCAAATGGTCACCTGGCTTGCTGTAACTTGAGTCCATAATTCCAGGTCCTGTACTCAGAGATGATCAAGAAGAGATTCTGGCCTTTGTGACAATCTTTCATGTAAAAAACGGGAGTGCATGTCATGGGGGGCGGGGGACCATTTGAATAACTATACCTGAAGCACTTGAATGCATCCAGTTACCTGGATGGCTGTGACACAGAGAGGCTCAAGTCTCTTTGCAAGTTTATAACTCTGTGGTCAGTATTTATTCCTTGGACGGCTTCTGATACAATTTATAGAATAATAAGGTCCCACTGTGAACGTAAGGAGTTGTAATCCACCATATTTTGACAGTTTATCAGATATTTTGATACTTTTTTTTTTGCTGAGAAGCACTGATAGTCCTTATTTCAAATAGGCAGTTTAAAAGTGATTCACTTATTTTTATCCTAGGGTAAAGGGAGTGGGTCTGATTATCTTAGTCTTATTTTCATTCTTTTGGCAGGTGGGATTTTTCTTGCTACAATTGCTGCTGCAGGGATGCTAGGAGGTTTTGGTACAACACTCGCCATGGCTAAAAAGAAGAACCCCAATTGGTTCAATAAGGTTTGTTTATTTTGATTCTCTCTTCATCTTTGGTAGCTTTATAGATTTTAGCTTCATAATGGTGTTTCTGCCAGGTTCCTGTTAAGGGAACATCCATTGGAGAGAAGAGGCAATATTTTTCTTTAAATGAAATCACATGATTATAATTGCAAAATACAGCTGAGGCCAAGAAAGATTGAAATTAATGTGATGTGTATGTTTTTTAATTTAAAAATCCAATTGGGTCTTAATTAAGAAGCCTAAATATGATAAGTGCTTCCCTTTTAAAATAACCAAGTTTAAAATTAAATCTGAATATAGATAGTAAGAAAATCTTTAAATAAAATTTGAAATAAAAGTACATTTGTGGAAATCTCTCAGAAGATGGGAAAATATGTTCAATATAAAGCTCCCCTAGATGGGGAAAAATAATATTAAATTTTGCAGATCTCCTCAGTGGTGGAAAAAAGCTGCTGCCTAGAGATTCAATGAAATGGAGGAGTAAGTTAGCTAGTGCCAGTTAAAAACATACTAGAGAGAGGATATTGCTAATGAGATCACAAGGACCAATCAGGTTTTTCACTATTTTTGCCAGGCAGTTCAGAAGCCCTTTCCAACAAGCCACAAACAAGCCATTGTGCTGAGTTCAGAAATGAAAGATATAGTGGAATTCTGACGTTATGCGTAGTGAAACAAACAATAACTCCTGCATTACATTTGTTTTTGATCATTTTTAATTGTAAATAGTGCAATCCCGTATATCACCTGGAGGGTACCAGGTTGAGGGAGGCAAAACTGAAGTTTTTAAACCTAAGAGTACTTCTCTTAAAATTGTTGAGGATCATTGGATATAAAGGAATTCTTAGCCTAGATTATCAACTTCAAGATGGTTACTAATATAAATATATTTATTTCCCCCCAGATCTATGCCAATGAAATGCTACATGCCACCAGTTTGGCAAGATAAAAACAAACTATTGAAAATCTTAAATGCTGCCAAGTCACATGGAGTATTTTTGTTGTTGGATTCCAGATTAGATTTTGTGTTCAGAATTTTCTTTTGCTTTTGTTATTAAAAAACACAAAAATGTGGTAAGATCATAAAAGAAAGCCTGCCATGTAAAGTAAGTCATACACATGTGACTCAAATAACTTATCTTAAAATAGTGACTCTTCCACTCCCCTTTATCAATGAGACCTTTTCTTCTGTGCCAAAGTACTGGGGAAACTCCAACTTGTTTTGCTTTTTTTAAAAAGCTATTTGTTCAGCAGTTGTCTTGAGGGTCTAAGTAGCATTGCATGTATCAGATGACCATTTTTCTGTAAACCCAGTTTGAGCATTTTATACCCTCAAGAAGTTAAGTCATAGACCACATTATTGTGTCTTTTGTTATTGCTTTTTCAAAGATTTAATCTGTTCAACATTTTTCCACAAAGATACTACTCGTAAATATCTTTTTCATAATATGTAGAATTATGTTGCATTATTTTACAAATCAAAATTCTCTGTGGACTTTTTACAACTGAGAGGAAAATTCATGGGAGACTTATAAGAAGATTATAAAGTTCATTATTTAATCCAACCAATAATTAATGTTCTAATGGACTACAACCAGTTAAAATATAAAATGCAAAATAAATATTTTAAAGAACAAACATTAATCGGTAAAAATGCCATGATAGGCTAGCACCAGAAAAGAATCTGGAAGACAAGAAAGGTCTTTGTCTGGTTCTGTCTGTCTGTCTGTCTGTCTGTCTTGTAAAAATAACAATATTGCTGCCAGCCAAACTTCTGCAGAGTTTGTTCTCTAAGTGGGGTGCCACTACTGAGAAAGTCTTCTTTCTTGTGATCACCCATACAGCATCCTTTGGCAGAAGTACCTGGCAGAGAAGCCCTGAAGATGACTTAAGGGTCCAAGCAGACACTACAGAAGGAGACATCCATTTAGATTAATCCCGCTTTTCAGTGAAAAGGTCTCCTAGAACCTTTTACATCCAAGCAGAGAAACAAGACAGTTCCAGCACACAGGCTTCCAACCTAAAAGGACATGACTCATAAGGATAAAGGAATGAAAAGGGAAGAGAAAAAAGTAGTCTTCCAGAGTAGGGAGAGTGGAATGATCCTGCTCTCATCATCTATATAGAAGCTCATCATTATATTTAGAAGTTTAAATATAATGTGAGCATAATAGAGGTGACATCAATCTAGTCAGGTGATTTGTAATACCTTGTCCATTCCCCTTAGTGGTACTTTTAAACAACATTTTAAAAGCTGAGATTGTTTGAAACAGTACTGAAAAGTCTGGTGCAGCTGCTAAGTGCTGAAAAAGAAGCTGCTCAGCACAAAAACTTTCACAATCATACACCTATACTTTTAAAAAGTGTTCTTCAATCACATCAATCAACACAAATTTAAACCATTTAAGTACGGTTCCTACTTCAAGGAATTCTGGGTAGTGTAATCTTAGTGACAGTATGATCTGTGGCAAGTTCCTACCACTCTAACAGAACTAAAATTGATCAGGTCTTCTTCAAAGAAAGCTAACTAGTTTATAGTATGTGCACATGGCATAATTTACAGGCATGCACTTATGGTGGTGGAGGCTTGGTTTTTTTCAGTAGGTACTTTATAATAGCCAAGGCCAAAAGAGTGATTAGAGCTTCTCTCTTATAAGCATTCTTCTTCTTCTGATGATGATGATGATGATTATAACATTTCTATGCCGCCCCTTGCCGAAGCCTCGGGGCGGCTTACAACACAATAAAATACATTGAAATACAATAGCACATAATAAATTACCATTAAATACAAAAATACAAAAAATACATTGAGTTACAAACATAATAATATAAAATTAAAATTATCAGTATAAAATAAGTAAATAAATAATATAGGAGGAGAAAAGAAGGAAGAAGAAGTTGCCCTGGCCAGATCATATATTTTAACAATTAAAAGATGTTTAAATAAAAAGGTCTTTACCTGGCGCCGAAAAACCAGTAACGACGGTGCCAGGCGGACCTCTTTGGGGAGTGAATTCCATAGGTTGGGCGCCACCGCAGAGAAAGCCCTCCTCTGAGTGCTTACTCTCCTAATTTCTTTCATGGAGGGTTCCCGGAGAAGAGACTCTCCCGCAGATCTCAAAGGGCGGTTGGGCATATACGGACGTAAGCGCTCGTTCAGGTAGCCCATACCCAAGCCGTTTAGGGCTTTATAGGTCATAATCAACACCTTGAATTGGGCCCGGGCTTCAATGGGCAGCCAGTGAAGCTGACGGAGGACTGGAGTCATGTGAGCATAACGCCCCGTCCCTGTCAGCAACCTGGCAGCTCTATTTTGCACCAATTGAAGTGTTCGGACCGTCTTCAGGGGAAGCCCCACGTAAAGCACGTTACAGAAGTCTAGGCGGGAAGTCACCAGCGCGTGTGTCACCGTCGCCAGGCAGTCGAACTCCAGGTAGGGGCGCAGCTGATTAATCAGCCGAAGCTGAAGGAAGGCGCTCCTCGCCACCGCTGTCACCTGAGTTTCCAAAGAAAGCTCCGGGTCGAGGAGTACTCCTAAGCTGCGGACCTTATCCCTAAGAGGGAGTGTTGCACCATTCAGGACCAGGTCAAATCCACCCTCTCCGAAGCCCGATCCGCCAACCAACAGGACCTCCGTCTTGTCTGGGTTGAGTTTCAGTTTATTGGCCCTCATCCATTCCATTACCTCGGCCAAGCATCGGTTCAGCACAGCCACTGCCTCACCTGGATTTGTGGAAAACGAGAGGTAGAGCTGGGTATCATCAGCGTACTGATGATTCCGCAGCCCACACCTCCTGATGACCTCTCCCAGCAGTTTCATATAGAAGTTAAATAGCAGAGGGGATAGAATGGAGCCCTGTGGTACTCCATGGCATAGCTGCCATGACGCAGAGACATGGTCCCCCAGCACTACCTTCTGGAATCGACCGTTGAGATAGGAGCGGAACCATTGCAAAGCAGTGCCTCCAACCCCCAATCCTGCTAGCCTATCCAGAAGGATACCATGGTCGATGGTATCGAAAGCTGCCAAGAGGTCCAGAAGAACCAACAGGGATGCACTCCCCCTGTCCTTCTCCCTGCACAGGTCATCGTACAGGGCGACTAAGGCAGATTCAGTACTGTACCCAGGTCTGAAGCCAGACTGAAAAGGATCCAGCTAATCAGTTTCATCCAAGAGTGCTTGGAGTTGTCCCGCCACCACTCGCTCCAACACCTTGCCCAGAAACGGGATGTTGGCCACAGGTCTATAGTTAGTGGCCATCTCTGGATCCAGTGACGCTTTCTTCAGGACTGGTCGTATTACCGCCTCCTTTAAAGGGGCAGGCACTCGACCCTCCTTCAGAGAAGCGTTAACCACTTCCAAGATCCAGGTCCCAATCCCGTGCTTGGAGTTATTTATTAACCAAGACGGGCAAGGATCCAATAGGCAAGTGGTGGGACGTACTCGTCCAAGTACCTTGTCCACATCATCGGGCCGCAATAATTGAAATTCCTCCAACAATTTTGGACCAGACGGTAGCATTGGCGTCTCCCCAGAGACCTCTGATTCATTAGTGGAGTCCAGCTCATGACGAATCTGAGTGATTTTCTCCCTGAAATGCCTGGCAAAGTCGTCACAGCGGGCCTTTGAGGGTGGCATCGGATCTTCCTTAGGACCCGGGCGAACCAGGCCTTGTACCACTCGAAAAAGCTCCGCCGGACGGCATTGTGAGGAGGCAATGGAAGTGGAAAAAAACTTTTTCACCGCCTTCACCGCCACAGCATAAGCCCGATAGTGGGCTCTCAAGTGTGTTCGGTCAGATTCATCCCGTGATTTCCTCCACCTACGCTCCAGTTGTCTCCCAACCCGCTTCATCGCCCGCAATTCAGGTGTATACCAAGGGGAAGAGCGGACTCTGCCCGGTGGGAGAGGACGCTTGGGAGCAATCGTGTCCACGGCCCTGGTCATCTCTCCGTTCCACAGTTCGACCAGAGCCTCGACAGGAGCACCAGTCTTGATAAGGATATGAACATTTGAAAACCAAGGTTGCAATCCTCTGCCCACTTAATTGAGAGTAAGCCTCATTAATTTCAGTGGAGCTAACTTGTGAGAAATCATGAATAGGATTGCACTGAAGGGGTGTTTTACAAGTCATGTAATACAAAAAGGATATTGTTGACAAGTTGATTTTTCCCTTCCCTCCTGAAAGTGTGTAGGTGTGTACATACGGATAATTGGTTTTTCTTCCTCTCCCACAAAACTTCTAGGGTGTCACTGCCACAGCTGCTCTGCCAGAGAGTGGTGCATCTCTTGCATTACGTGCCTTAGGATGGGGCTCACTTTATGCCTGGTGTGGAGTGGGCCTGATCAGTTTTGCTGTTTGGAAAGCTTTGGGTGTTCACAGTGTAAGTACCATCACTTTGCAGATTATTATGCTTTAGACATTCCAGAAAATTCATAAGCTTTCATATTTTATCATTTACTTACACAGCATGTGTGTACATGATGCTTTATAGCGTAACTTAAGAAAAGTCACCTCTTTATTCTTAGGAGGTTACACTCTGCATTATTATAGATTAATTGATTAGATTATTGAAAGACCTGTTTGGGATTATTGGGAACAATAAATAAATAAATGGACTTATATTAGTGTGAGAGACAGTAAAATGAAGGGAAGAAAGAGGCAGCAACAACAAACAGAAGTAGGGAAGGAATGCAAGGGACAGTGATAACAGGAAATCAGTGTAAGCAAGTCTAGTTGCATGTTCTTAGGTTTTGTTTTGAAGGTGCTATTTTGGACTATATCCTAGTGGATATCTTGATAAAAGCATGAGGTTAGGGAGTTGTATAGTGAGTCAGGCTTCCATAACTTTTTCAGGACAACATCTTCACTGGCCAAGACATTCAGTGCTTACATTTGTACAAAACAATAAGGCAAACTTCCAGAGAATCCTAGCTTGTTCACAAGCAAACATTTTGGTGCATATTGTCCAGACTTAACTGGCTACTTGCCCATTCTTAATGAGGAGCTACCAGCAAGAGAGAGCTTAGCAGTCCAGACTGGAGCTCCTGGTTTGTTGCTCTTCTAAGAAGTTACAGTTTAAGGCCATGGTTTGAAATCGACTCACAACTTGTTTGGGAGCTACAAGCTAAAACTGGTTTCTGCTACAACACTAGGCTGTCCCTTTGTCTGTTCTAGGACATAGGTGGCTGGTATGTATGGCTGGAACCATGAATGGGCAAGGTCAGATACCAATAAGGCATGGCAGGACTGCAGGCAAGATAAGGAGCAGGTAAGGATCACATACCAACAAGGCATGAGAGGTGCAAAATTAAGGCAACGTCAAGAACAGACAAGGGAACAACAAGACACTGTAGGTCTAGAGGGGAAGGCAAGGCAGGAGTCAGCAAGGCTCAGATAGTGACAATGAGTGATAACAGAAGCAAAGGCAAGGATCAGATACCTGGCAAGGTGAGGTCAGACCAGAAGCAAGGGTAGAGTTAGAAGCAGGCAGGAGTTGAGGCAGGGTCAAGGGGAAAGCAAGATGATGTAGGATCAGGAGCACAGTACATCTATCATAAAGGCTTTTGTTGTTGTGGCCAAGCTGAGCAACAGAGGAAAGTCTTTTATAGAACCTTCTAGAGCTCCCAAGTGTGTCACATGATTGCAGAGGCTGCGACCCTTACAAGTACCTACAGGCCTGATCCTGCTTCTGCAGACATGTTCAGGATGAAGCAGTGCACCCTTCACAGTCAAACCACAAGTGGTTTGCCCCAGAGTTGGACACTCTTACTGCAGAGTTATTCGTTAATTTAGGGTCCAGTTCAGTTGGATGCCTGTAGCACTCTGAACTCGATTACAGGTAACCTGTGGAGGGCAGGAGGAGCACAGCAACATGCACTTTCCATTCTGCAGAGCAGCTAGACAGCCAGTTTTGGCTATGTAAATGTGGTGCTTTAGAGTGGGGGGAAGCAGGCTAGACAGAGTGCCATCAAGATACCATATTTCTTGGTAGCACTGGTCTCTTCCCTTCCCTGCCACTGTCTAATCACTTTCTTTGAGGTGTCAGTTCCAACATAGGAGCTGAGACTCTGAAAAATTCTGTGGCCCTCTAGACACTGTGGTGTCAGCCACTCAGAAGAAATCTTGTTTCTTGTTCTGCATGAATGCAGGGACTGTGTTTTAGGGCGTGCCTTTGGAACAGCAAAGACATCAAGTTGAAATCCACAAGCAAGCAACACTTACTGAAGTTGCACTAGTGTAAATTGATGGTTATGCAATGCACTTGCTAGCCACTGAGCTGAGAAGTGCTATTGACATTGTGGAAGTCTTGGTTTTGACGGCACAATGTCAGTAGTTCTAGTGCTGCAACACCATTGGATTCTTCCCTACAGGAAAAATAATATTCCAGAGAAGAGGGAAAATCTGTCTCTCAAGATCAGTAACCCACATTTTTCAAACAGCCAGCTGACTTTATAGAGCTTCATTATAGACCCAAACAGACACAAACAGGAATTAATCATGTCATCACACATTTGGTGCTGCATCTTTTGGGTTAGAAAATGTGATGACAGAAGAAGTCCTGGAAGCCAGTCTCTGCCTTGGAGGAGTGAGCTATTCTGCTGCAAAGATGGAGACATGAATGTTCAAATAGAAGGTTGCATACACTTGTCCCTGGCTGTATCTAGAGATCTTTTTATCTATACATGCAATTTGCATGAACCGTGTAATATAAAACCGAATAACCAAGTTCACAGTGCCCAGCTGTGGAATCTTGAGAAGTGCCTGGGAAGGCCAAGGTCTCATTTACTTCTGAATGCTTGCCCATTCAGCCTGTGGAGCTGCTGCCCATTGCACCCTGTGTTTGTCAGTTCCCAGAATTGGATAAGTAGACTGAAGTGCTTCCACTTTTGGATTGCCAGGGTTATATATGTTAAAACAACCCTGAGTTTAGTGGTAAACAGCAAGTTAGCTAGCCAGTTATGTTCACCATGTGTAAGTTGTTTTGAATGGCTAACACCCTGAGTTACCCATGTACTGCTACAGTAGCGAATGTTTAAAATGCCTAGATTCAAAAAGCAATGAGGGAGAAAAAAAGGCAGACCATTCTCTCCCACCCCCATCCATGCTTGTCAGAAATGTTGCTACTTATGCAAACTCCAGGATTGAGTAAGCTGTCCCTAGGTGCTCTGGAATTTTGTACCTTCAGAGGACTTGCTATAACAGCAAACAATATTCTGTTACCATTAAGTATATTTTATTGTAAATGATCTTACTTTTAGCAAGAGAAATATTGCCTCGATGGCAGAGTAAAGACAAGGGAATGATGGGGGAACACTTTTCAAAGGAGTGCCATCTACAGATGCAATTGGAGAAGACCTCTTTGTGAGTCCTTCATTGCATCATAGCTACATCTACTGGCAGGAGAGGAAATGAGTCAAGCTGCACCCATTTTTACATGGCAACTCAGACATACATTTTTCTACTTTATTTTGAAATGATAAATTTTTCCCTTCCCATAATGCCTTCCTTTTAAAAGCATTATGTTAATGGGAAGCTGCTTGTGCTTCCAGCAACCAGATTCTAAACACGTTAAGTAACTAACTACACAGTAATGCATAAGGCAAATAATGAGTCTGTTATCTTTTTTTAAAAGGAAATCTACTTGCAAAAAGGAATCATAGAGCAGAGAAATGTAAGTGGTGGGGGAATGGGTGTTTAACCTATTCCCAGCAGATGAGATTTATTTATTTGATTTATATGCCACCTGATTAGCCATAGGCTCTCTGGGTGGCTTACATACAGTCAGAACCACAATAAAAACAATACAATAAAACAGTAACAACACTAACATCAGTAAGATTAATAAACATAATAACTAATAATAAGTAAATTAAATAAATTGACAGGGGTAAACAAAGAGGTGCTGCAGATCAGGAAGCCAGCTGGCTGAGCATTACAATGTCAGCCTCTTTTAAATGTAGTTGCATTCCCAGTGAAAGGTCAGGAATGTGGGATGCTCCCGAACCTAGTGCTCAGGTACTGCCTGAATTTCAGCTTCAGCTGGTATACCAAGAGCATTAATTCCTGGTGAATTCAGTCTTAACCATTAAAACAATGCAACAATTACTATAACTCTTTATATGTGGGGCTTCTTTTGAGGCCTTCAGAAATATCAGCTTTATCAAAAATCTTGATTGGTGCCAGTTGTTAGGATCATCTGATCCATTTACTGTGTCAGCTTCAGCAGCTGCCTGTCTATTTCTGGCAAGCTGCTGGCTGTTACCTGTAGAGCCCTTAAGCATTTGAGACTCAGCTGCTTGAAGCACCATGTTGAACAATTCTGTCTGCCTTTGGCAGTCTACTAAAGGGGGCTTTGTATACTTGTCATTGGCTTCTTAGTTCTACTTGTTGGGAATATACAATAGGGCCTTTTCTATGGCAGCACCTTAAGTAGGATACTCGCTGAGGGGCTAGACTGGTTTCTTTTCTGTCAGCATTTGAAACATAGAAACAGAACGAGTCAGAAGGGGCCACCCGGGCCATCTAGTTTAACCCCGGCACCAGCCGGCTCCGCTCACGACATGCCCACCATGTGGATGTCCAGCCTATCCTTGAACACCCGCACTGATGGGGCCTCAGTGACCTCTCGTGGAAGCCCATTCCACACCCTTGGGGTCTTTTTGAGAAAACTATTTAGATTATGATAATTCTTTGTTCTGGCTCTGTTGGTATTTTTAGCCTTGATGTGATGCTTTGACTTACACTGAATTACTGGATTGCTGATTACTTAGTTTTATATGTTTCTGTTAATAGACATGGATATCTCCATGTACAGTGGAAAAACTTGGTTATAAAATTTAGTATAATTTTAAAAAAATGTGTTAGTTTTCAGAGAAAACAGAGGTATAGTGCTAAGTAAGATGTCTCCATGTTGCCCTGCGTTTAGCTAAACCTACAAGTGAATTTCATGAACCATCATGACATCACTAATCTATATGCCCCTAAGCTGTAGCAAGTGGCAGTATTCACTGTCTTTAGTTGCAGCTCTTCTCTATGCTGTCTCCTGTGATGAACACAGCACTGGAGAAAGTGTTTCTGAGAGACAATCAACTTTTAGCCTTGAATTCAGAGGTCAACAAGAGTTCTTTCACTTATTACTGCAGATCATTTGGGGGTTTTTTACTGAGAGAAGCAAATCTAGTGACATGTACTCATAAGACTACACTATGTGTTCACAGAGAGCACATTTTCAGCCTCATATAGCATGTAGGCACATATGCTGAAGAGCTGGATGGATTTGCTGTGTGTACATCAACTTGCAAAGTTACATTTGTCACTACACAACATATGCCAAATCTCCTAGACTATCTCTGAGCTCTTTCTACCTTAGCCTCTTTTCTA